AGGCACGGAGGAGAGCGGTTTCATTCCAGCCACTAGTCGCCGCTAGCGTCCGAAATTGCAGGGTGTATTCGCTGGTGGTAGAAGAGCCTTGACGCAGCCGCAAGAGTTGGTCTGGGACGGATAGCATTCCTGTAGCTGAGCCAAACACTTCCTTGAAATGATTAGTGAAAGTATCATATGAGTTGATTATGGCACCAGGTGTCACACTATGAGCCAGAGACACAAGGTAAGGATGCAAACAGGAGGGTTTATTGACAATTCGGAGAGCAAGTTGAAGACAGGTGAGTATGAGAATATAGAGAGCTCTTGGGTTCTTAGCTCTGGGTAATTAGTTGGTTGGTGACTGAGGTGACGTAGGTGACTGTGAGGGCAGAGACTCCCTGACAATAGGTTGTTTTATTTTAATAGTTAAAATAAAAAAAAAAGTTTAGGTTTGAAAATAAATAGCTTATTAAGTCTTTAAGTATTAATTATTTTGTGCTATGGTGAAGACTAAAGCAAATATAAATATCTAAATGACTGTTTGAAAAATGTACACAGTTCAGAGAGTGGCGCAGCTGCTTTGTTTACAAGGTTACCGTGGTAACCGAATATGTGGCATGCCATAGATATGTATACGTGGCATGCTTTGGATGCCACCAGAATAGAATTAAAATGAACGCCGAATTTGCGTTTTCATTCAGCGCGTCTCCTTCGCTCGTTCTGCCTTTCTTCTCATCTGTGCTCATTTAAATTAAATCTTTGCCTTTTTAAGTAAGGAATAATTGATGACGGCCCATTGAATTCTTAGAAAATAATGAAAAACTTCTTAGAAAAACTCAGCTTCGCGTCGGGTGTGCATTATTTTCTAAGAATTCAACGGACCGCGTATGTTAGCGTGTGTGCAAACTGTATGTGAGTCTGTGAGGGAGAGAGAGTAGGAGAGATAGAGCATGTGCTTTCCATACATAATAAAATGTAATTTTGTGGCAAAAACATGGAATGATCTGTCGTTTTAATCCTATTGTTTAATATATTTATTTGTTTGGCCAGTGTCGTTGTGGGTTCTGGTTCTTTTGCTTTTTTAGGCTGTAAGGACCTTTGAAATAACTCAAATCATTTGGCTAAGTGATATGGACATGTAATGCGGTCAAGACCTGCCTGGAACTATGTTCGCTGTGTGTCACACGTTGTCAGTACTCGCAGCTACAATATATACTTACAATTTTAAATAGTTATTTTTCTGTTGTTTTAAAGGAGGACACAGTCACTTCACGGACCAAGCCCTGTCACCACATTTGGACCCAAAGCCTGCATGCTGAAGAATCCTAAAGCTGTCATGTGAGTCCTTTATTAACTATTTCTGTAGTCCATTTTACAATACAGTTGAACAAGTTAGAGTTTATAGTCCTTTTTTTCAGGCACTTTTTTCTAGCAAGATGTGGTGCAATCATGGGCTGACTAATATCTATATTGTTGTTTTAGTAAAAAGTTTTCTATTATTAAATAATAATTATAAGTAAAAGACTGAAAAACTACATGGGGGTTTTTAACCTAAATAGCTCCAAATTACAAGGGGGTAAAATGGCTCCAGAAAGATGGTAGCATCATAATGTTAATTTTACACAGAGATTGGTAGGTCTGTTAGTAAAATCTGTTCACTTTAGCAAACTTTGTTGCATGATGTGCTAATGGTGACCATTCAAAAATGGGGAAACAGCACTTTTCAAGTTTTTCTCTAAAGTTTGCATGCCAAGGATTTTAGATTCTAGTTCTTAATAAACTTTTCTTTTGGAATCTTCATTTTCAAGGCCCTACATTTTTAAATCCCAGAGATATGGGGGTCTCAATGAGGCTCCATTTTCAGATTGTTGAATATTACCCATTCCAGCACTTGAAAACCAAATGTTGGTCACTTTGTATACAGCTGATACTTAGTGTGTTTAAAGCAGAACGTCTGAAGAATAAGTAATGTTGAAACTAGGAATGCATCTGTTTCCCTCTATCAAAACAATTGTATAGGACATACCTGTTTGAGTGTCATAAATATTATTTTCCCAAAATTTGTGTGCCTATAACTCAAGATGTATTAAAGTTATCTTAAAGGTGCCATAGTATGTAATATTTTTTACAATATTTTAAATTGTTCTCTGATGTCCCCAGAATGTGTATGTGAATTTTATCTCAAAATACCCCACAGATAATTCAACCCTCTACGGACACCTTGGCAATTGAAGCGCCATTGGCTAGTAAATGTTTTTGTTTACTCGCCAGACTGAAATACTATACTT